GGATGTTGTTCTTTGGTTGACTAGATGATTCCTTCGTTTTAAGGTCTTCATAAACTGCTTGACGTTGATTACCCGTAAGGAATGCCTCTTCTGGTTTCGAGTTTGAACGAGGTTTCAACGTAGAGAACTGAACGACCCTCTCTTACCCACATTCATATACTTACACTTTACACAGAATATATTAAAAACGTAAATTCCCATATAACCAATATTTTTATACCGGTGTAAACAAAAAAATAAACGAACTAGTTTCCTGTAAGAAATATTTGTTTTAACGAAATGAGGTAAGGTGGCGTTAAAACATATAAACATACCCGAATCTTTGAAAAAACATAAGAAAAAACTTTTTATTATCCAAGTTTTTCCACCACCCTTTAGAAGTAGGTGTGATATAAGGGGAGTCCGACTTTCAGGTTCAAGAGCCACTCCTCGAATACGCCTCCCCCTCCTGCTTTCCGAAACGGACAGGTCCCCCCCAAACAAAGAAAACAACTTGTAAAGTCCTACTATATAAAATATAAACTTTTACTTTAGGATTAGACTACGTGAAACAATTAATTTGTTTAATTTATCTTTCTTGACCTAACATATTAATAGTTGTCACGAAGTCTGCCGTTCTTGCAATGTAAGATGTGGAGTGACACCCTTGGCTGCCGGGGCGGTGAGGGGCACACACAGACTTTTGAACATACCAGGTTATGGTGATGCGAGCGAGATCCTAGAAATAAATGGTACTCCGCTCAAGGCACCACTTTTCTATTTACGGGCATGAATGATACCGGTTCGCCTCGCGCGTCTCGAAACGTGGGCGTCTAGAGGGTGGTCCGTGCCGGAGGTGACACACACCCAGAGAGGCGTCGAGGCGTCACTGCTCGTAACGACGTTGGTACAGTATCTAGCGACCGTCTCCCTGTAGGCGATTCATGACGCGTGAGATACTTGACCGAGAGCGTGGCCATCAACACCTCCAATTATTTGATATATTATGTAAAAACCATATTCCGTCTATTAGAGTATGTTGCGACTTTTCTGTCGGCTGCCGTATCACTCTGACATTCTGGAGCGTGTAATATTACTGTCAATGAGTGCACCGAGTCAGAAACAGTGTTTCAAAAACCAGAAGAAAGTTTGAACATCCCCTACCTGGTCCGTGCGAGGCAACAGCGCCCCTGGTCAGGTGGCAAAAATAACGGGACAGGGGCCAACTTTGACAGGGGCCTTTTAACAGTGGCAAAAAATTATCACTACAATTTTCTGTCAGATCGTTACACATTTGCACAACAGTCCACAGTCCCTTTGTGGACCCATATTGTCTGGCGCACCAGCGGTCGGTAGGGTGAAGCCTTTCTTGTGCTCACGCTCGGTCGGGCGTGCGAACATAACGCCACGGCTTATAGCATACGTAATGCCATCTCCGGACGATTTTGACGGACTATGTGTGTTTCGCAAATGGAGATCGCGAGTATATTGTATCTATATGAGTGTATTTTGTTGTGATTTGATCAACACGTATCATATGACCTAGATACATTTACCTTTCACTAGCATCACAAAAATGTATAATTACAGCGTAGTTATTATAAAATTTTGTTTGATGTATATTGAGTGGATACCTAATACTGACTACTTATCATTTTCATTCCTATGTCATACCCTCCTTCTAGACTGTAAAGCCGTCGACCCACTGATTAAAGTTAACTACAACTGGGTCACAGCTGTTGTGAGGATTTTTATTGGTAATAAAGACTTCGTGCTATATAATTTTCATACGACAAATATTATGGAGCTTTATATCTAGATAACTAATAGACAATTATAAAACTAATAATAAATTACCTGTGACAGTGTTATATCAAGTTTCTCAGTAAGCTCGCAAGTTAGTCTTCTGAGAATCAAAGTTAAGTCCCACTGTCGTCCGTCTGGGGTAGATAGTTAGTCTCTTTTCGTCCTGTTAGACTACACTTAAAGTTTTATTTTCTGCGAAACTTCAGAGTATACTCGATAGACAGGAACAAACGATAGGTATTGTCAATTACAAAGATTCCAACATGTAACTATTGGTTCCATTAACAGGGGGAAAAAGAAAATCTGTCGCTCTTCTTTTAACTATACAATTACACATAAAACCTGGCGTATATTTGAGTTTTACAGGGCCAAGAAGTAAAAATCTTGTGTTATAAAGATAAGCACAGCACAAAGTAAAGTTCTGAAATGTGTGATTTTTTGAAACACAATTTAACAAGCATGGTAAATGTATACCTGAGTTTGACAGACTTATCTTAGGACAGGCTGAAGATCCGGTGCTTCAGTCACTTATGTTCTCCCTTCTATCAACATCTATAAACTCTTGGAAGTCTGTGTTGTATTTTTAAATCCTATCAAGGACAAATCCAAATTCACCTGTTACTTCCAGGAGAGGGTTTGTGCTTTGGACATTGTAGATTTTTATTTTTATTTCCTTTCCATTCTTAAATGAAATTGCAAGGACTTTAACAGATTCCTGCTGCTCATTCCCGCTCCCTGTAATTATAAGAAAAAGACAAATTCATCCTGATGTTGACTAGTCATATTATGCCAGATTAAATTAAATGCCATCATCTATCATCTTCTAGTTCAGTGGCTAGCAACAGCTATCTCCGGTATCGGTGCGCTCTCTTTCTCGCTCGCGCACACACACACAAAATGGGTCGTTCCACACACACACAGAGCCGAGCTTTAATGAAACACAGAGACCCAGACGTAATAGTACTGTATCATATTATTTTCGAATCAATAATTTTTCAAAATATGATTTATTTATTTATTTTTATTTTAATATCCATTTTTCCTCCTGGTCTCTCGCGCCCCCCCTGTCATGCCTCTGCGCCCCCCTGTGGGGTCGCGNAAGTCCCTTAGCAGTAGCTTAGTTTGCATAGAAACCAGTTCATTATAACGTTGAAAAATATATAGGCTGCATAAAGCTAGCTTAATGAATTGCATATAATAGTTTCTCCTCAACCACAAGATTCACCAGCAGGTGGGCTTGATTTAGTTTGCATGTATAAGCTTCATACAACTGAAATCATTGTTATCTTAAAAGGGTACTAAACCAACTTCTCTCCACTTATATTTTAAGAAATCAAACATGATTGATAAGTATATTTAGCCAATTATATAACCAGAGGTCTTTTGCAAACGGATCTTGCCTATTTACTGTGTAAGAATCATGGTAATAGTGTGTACACAAGACAGTTTACATGGACTTGCTATTCATGATCGTGCACCCACATGGTTAAATCTTCAGCTTTAAGAGTGTTCAAATCCCTTGTGATACACCACCATATGCGAACAGAGAATCTGACCTGAAATAAAAATGAGGATAAACTTATATTCTCTCACAGTTATTTTTGATGGAACAGCTCACAGATGAACCCATCCTTATGTTGTGGGCTTGTGTCATGTCGATGGGCCTATGATACGGCTGGATATTTATGCTGCATTCATTTGAGGTTTTATTCTGTTATGCAATCAAATGAAATCAACCGGTGCCTAATTCCCAAACATGGGGACAGAGAGACACTGCTCCATGTAAACAAAGTGGTGCTGCAGGAGTCAATCTGTCTGAGCAGTGCATCTGTGTATCAGTGAGCCACTGGAAAAACACCCTGCGCTGACTAAATGCTACTCAGCTAACAGCCTTGAAAGTCTTTTCCTCATACAGCCAGTGATGACCAATGCATGACTACAGCACTTATGTCTGGTTGCCTAAATTACAGGCTATCTTTGCCCACTCACACCAATCAAAACAACAGGGCATCGTCATTGCTGGTTAGCTGTGGCAGCTAGCTAACGCTAACTCAGCTAGTTAGTTAGCTCGCAGCCGCCTCTTATTATGATATCGCCAGCAATGTTATTGGACGAAACAGAAAGGAAATACTAACGACTCTACAGCAGCTTTGCCAGGACAAGTGTCTGTACTTTCTGGGGTGTCACTTTGTAGAGCTGGTGTTTGCAGAACAGCTCCACTTCCATTTTGAACAATAATCGCTTTGAGGGTGATGTGATGAAGCTTACCTCTGGTCAGATCCAGCGGTACATTTTCCTCTCCGCTGTCATTCCGACCTGTCAAAAACACACACCAAGGACACGATGAGGGGACACACCGGGGTCATCAGCTGCCTAGGGAAATCTAGTTTCGCAATATGCCACTATAACAGACATCACTGCATCGAGTTTTTCAGGCTTACCTCGCATCCGAAGACTCCGGATAGGACGGCCGCGGAAGCTGGCCGCCATGTTTCCAGGAACATACACAACACCGGAAACTTCGCGGCTTCTCGCGAGAGAAGAAAGCCGACAACAGGGGTTTTCGCCGCGACATCGCTGCAGCAGAACTCCCACAGACCTGAGATCAGATCATAGGCGTAATTTTCGCTGGGGACGCTGGGGACATGTCCCCACCACTTTTTGAAATGGCCAATTTTGTCCCCACACTTATAGTATAACTTATATATGTTCTGAAACATAGCGTGCACAAATACATGTAATAAACAAGAACACTGGTTTAGTGTCAATGTGTGCAATTTGGAAATGTTAGTAAACTTTACTATAAGGTGTGTATTAATGGGTTTAACTAGAACAGTGGTTCTCAAAGTGGGGGGCCCAGAGGCATGACAGGGGGGGCGCGAGAGACCAGGAGGAAAAATTGATATTAAAATAAAAAAATCGAGCCTTCATTGTAACAGTTGCGGGTAAGTTGTGTATTTGCGTGAGGAGTGTTGCAGTAGAAAATTCCACTGTAGCGCCNCAGCTTAATGAATTGCATATAATAGTTTCTCCTCAACCACAAGATTCACCAGCAGGTGGGCTTGATTTAGTTTGCATGTATAAGCTTCATACAACTGAATTTCAGTTGTATGAAGCTTATACATGCAAACTAAATCAAGCCCACCTGCTGGTGAATCTTGTGGTTGAGGAGAAACTATTATATGCAATTCATTAAGCTGGCTTATTCCTAGCTTTATGCAGCCTATATATTTTTCAACGTTATAATGAACTGGTTTCTATGCAAACTAAGATACTGCTAAGGGACTGATTCCTGCAAAAGGAATAGTGTCTTTTGTCAAGAACATTTAGCATTACAGAAGCTGATAATCATTGGAAGGAACTGAAAACCGAAACTTCCCCTTTCAAGTCCTGCTTTGTGCGTCTAGACCTTTTGTTGACTGTAAACACTAAATTAGTTCGACCAGCTAAACCAACTTCCTTCCTGCAACATCAACATCAATTATGGTTCATTGACTGATATTATGGCAATATGGCTTAATACTTGTCTTGGTTACATTGTATTTCTTTATCTTTTTTCGACAGAACCATCAGAAAACTTCCGTGAAATCCTTCAAAATGTGGCCAAACCACACGGAGTCAGTAACATGCGCAAACTGGGCCACCTGAACAACTTCATAAAGGTAATGCTGTCAAGTTTTGCTCCCTCTACCGAAGTGTTTTATTTGTTTATCTAGGCTGTGCTGACAACACAACACTATGAATAGTACATTTGTTGTATCTCCCTAAACCTACTCCCAAGACTAGGTTAAAGCTGTGAATACAAACATGCAGCTTTTTAATAAGGTTGACTCGCTGTTCAAATATCTAATACGGTTGACTAGCTGTGCTCCCCTTTGTAGTGTCATCACTAACCTCTCCTTGATCCTCTCCTCTTGGGTGTTGCTGCCAGCAGGCCTAGCTGTGCCTCTCATTGTGACGCTGACAGTGAATGTAACAGGAGCTTAAGGGATGGGAAAGCACACAGACCCAATGTGTATGAAGAGCGACTCACTGACTTTAGAAACCTAAGATCCCTAATCTTAGTTATAGTTCTTATGAATCTCAGAAACTGGTTTTCCAACATGTACGTTTTGCCCCAACTTCAATGTATTCCTCTTTTTAGATGTCAGCGCTTTGTTCATGAGTGATAAAGGGTCAGTCTTGTCTCTGTGTCGCACTGCAATGTAATGGCACATACTGTTGTAAAGAAAGTGATCTGTGTGCTCAGGCAACATCAAATAATTGATCATCATCATAGAAATCACAGACATTTCTTAAACGTGGTTTTAGATGCAAGTGTTTTTGTGCGTACACAGCCTTTTACTACGCTGTGCTGGACTGGTGACCTTTCCAGGATTTATTCTGCCTTCCTCCTGACACAAGCTTGCATAGTTTTGAGCCTTCTTGTTACTTGAAACAGAAATAACAGGGGTATAGAAAACAAGTAAATGTCTTGCAAAACTCAAAGGGAAATCTCGCTGACATTACGATAGCTCACCATCACCTCATTGAGAAATGTCGCAGCCATTTACACAACCCGGGTCACTGATTCCTGCCCAGACGTTTGCTGATTTTATCGATGCTTGTGTCGCCTTTAAGCATGTCTGACATTGTAACCAATTGTTGGTGCGGCCTTTAGGAAAACTGCAGCTGGCAGTGTAGCAGACTGAGCTTTGGCCTAACTCTCTGGTTTACAACTGACAGGAGCGTAATATTGAGTGTGTCTGTGTGTATACGTCTGTGAGCGCACCGTGCCTCTGATTCCTTATAAGGGTTTCAGGACAGTGAGGGTGACCTAAACCCCCAGAGAGTGTCACATGCCCCTCTCCCTGTCTCCTCCTCCTGCCTGCTTGAGCTCTGACATCACAGCTGGTTTAAAACAACACCCTACTCACCATGCCTCTCATCATCACCCGTCCCATCATGCTCCAGCTCTCTTCCAGTTTTGTTTTTGTGGTTTATGGTGAAGGAAGGAGGAGATTTATGTCGAGCTTTAAGGAAAGAGTCAAACCAAAATGACCTGTTTGTCTGTCTCAAAACTTTGGACGTTGTACTGTCCCATGAATACTTCCCGTAAATGTAATTTAAAAACTACCAGACGACCAATGTAATGATAATATTACGGCACAATAATGCAATGGCATCTTTTCAATGCGGAAGAATATTCTAGAAACCTCAAAATAAACAAATTGTCTCTTGGGGCTCTGTTAACAAGAATGAGCAATGTCTGAGCGATGCCAAGGTCATGTACGAACAATCGTGATGTAAATATATCGAGGTCGTGTCAATATATCATATGATAAGAAAATAACGTAAACATCATGACAGGCCTTCACTGCTGCAGCATCGGGACAGGCAAGGTTAGACTGAACTTCTCTGATGGAGTAGCACTGACTGGTTTGAAGCGCTTCAGGGTGTCTATGAGAAAAGGTGGCAGTTCTAAAATAGCAGCACCCTTTGCCCAAGGAGCTTATTGCTCTGCGGGTATAATGAGTTGACACAGACTTGAGCTGAAGGCTTATTGTTTTTATAATGAACTGCTTTTGTGTGCACAGAATTTGAATCTTCTCAACACCAGTTGTGTGTGAGCCTCTGGTAATAATAAAGGGACCTATGGTGAGGGGACGGATAAAAGTGTCAGGTGGATGTGGCTCAGGGAACTTTTCTGCTGATCTGCCAATCAGAGGGTCAGTGGTTTGGTCCCTGCCCCTGCGGTCAACCTGTCCTAGTGTCCTTGTGCAAGTTACCTAACCCAAAATGCCTCGCTTTGGATAAAAACGTCAGATGAAAAGCATGCAGTGTAATGTAAAAGTGTACATTTGTGCTAAAAATGGATAACGGGAACAAATTGCCAGCCTATGGATAGAACAAAATCATTTTCTTACTTTCTGTTAAAACCTTCTTTTTCACAAGTCCACCACATATCACCATGCATTAGTAAACAACAAGTGGTGGACGTGACACCGGTCCTGTGCATGTGTTGCCCCAACGCGCTGGTGATTATAACTTCCACACACCACCAGTGAAAACACAACATTATGCAGTCACGCTTCATCTACTCCAAACCAGTCAACATGTAACAGAGAAGTGGAAAAATACAAAAAACACATCTGCATGGCTCATGCAGCACCCTGCTGCAAACTGACCAAAGTCTTGTCACCTCCTTCCTTCTATAAATCAATGTATTATATGTACCCTTCTTTCTCTGTGTTATAGCTGCTATGCAGTATCAACCACCGTGAAGAAAACTTTGGGTTTACATATGAAGAAATCATCGTTTGGTAAGTCTTGTTAGGTACTAATGCACACCATGTACTTCATTGAACATCTACTCTTTCCAAATCATTGTCTTGTTATTAAGGCGACAGAGTGAAACAGTTTGTTTGTCAGGTCCTGTGGCTGATAAGCAGGAATTAGAAATCATCATGTTTGTGAAAAAATGCAGGAAAAAACAAAAGTATTTCAAGTCCCAGTGAATCGTATTTTAATGTCCAATTTGTTTACCTCCAGTCTGCGACTAGCTCTACTCAATGAGGCTAAGGAAGTGCGTGCTGCAGGTTTGCGGGCGCTCCGCTACCTCATCAGAGACACCACGGTGCTGCAGAAGGTCCTCAGACTACAGGTGGACTATTTGATAGCAAGGTGGGTTAAAAATAAAGTGATATCTGAATGACTTCTCTTTTTATGGGTCCAAAAATATTAGTTTTTAGTACGAGAAGTCACCTCTCAAAGTTGGCCAGTTTCTTTGAAATGTTATGCTTCAGTCCCACTTGTCTCTTTCCTGCCAGCACATTTGTTGCTGGTTGTGGTTTTAAGAAAAGGACATGTCTAATAATGCTTGTGTGCTTGTTTAGATGCATTGACATCCAGCAGAGTAATGAGGGCGAGAGGACTCAGGCTCTGAGGCTAGTCCGAAAGGTAAGATCCTCTGTATTTTATTTATTTATTTATTTCCATACTTCCTCCTTAAATTGCCCTCTGCCCTCACTGCTCAACCTTAGCGCGAGCCTTAGCGCGAGCAGAAAGATCATTGGGCCAGCAGCAGAGTCACTGTGTGGACGGTTTGCATGACTCTGCAGGCCGGGCTCTTTTTGTAGTTTACTGTAAACTCTTTACACACACACACACACACACACACACACACACACACACACACACACACACACACACACACACACACACACACACACCAACCACAGATGGTTTTGTTAAATAATTATAATTGGGTTTAATAAATAACAAAAAAGGTGTACAACAAATTGAGAGCAAAAATAGCCTAAGCCAAACAAAGAAGCCAAAAGCCCGTTAATGTACTGCTAATGGCGGAAAAAGGATCTATAAGTGAGCCTAGTTACACACCTGAAATCACTACCAATCAACACTAACAAAAGGAGGCTGCAGGAAAACACAGCTAATAAAGGGAAGCTAAACACGCTACTCTAAACACATATATCAACGACACTAAGCACACATATAATCACACCAAACACACTACACTAAACACGGCCCACACGAGTCGAACACAGTCTAATAGCTCAAGTCTAAAGTGTCCACGACACAAGAGCAAATATGCGTGAGGCGTCTGATCGCAGCAGAGCCTCCCGAGTGTTAGTTGTCCCCAGGCTTTGTAGTCATCTCCGGTAGGTGTGCGCTGGGATTGCACAGGGGTTGGAGCGCGTCTGGCCGGGCGTGCTCCAATCAGTGTCTTCGGAGGCGGACCAGGAAATAGTAGCCAATGACGTTGGGGCGACTACACAGCTCATTTACATATTGAACAGCAAAACAGAATTAACAGGACCGGAGAGGCGTCACACCACGTGTGCGGTTGCGGAATTAACGGACGTGACGTTGTGCGACTGCATTGCCAGGCAATAACTTGGCTTCATGTTAATTTACAAACTCTTCAACTAGAACCATAGATATATTTAAAAACATTTAAGAAGGCCTCACGAAATACTTTAATGTAAATTCAAATTTAAATGTGAAGGACTGTGTGTATAACAAAATACATCCTTCATAAACAATACCGGAGACAGACGTAGACAAGATCCTCAGCTCGGTGATTGGATGGTTTAGCCGCAATGCACGTTGGGAAATGGTGTTTATGCGATGTGAAATCCGAAAATATTAAAAAAAATAAAATAATACTTTATTCCAAGTTTGCTTGCTTTTTTTCTCTTTGGAGCTAATCACATAACGGCATTGTAATACACGGTTCGGCTGCATTAAATATTACATATCTGCCGTAGTTCTCTATTGATAGAGCCCTGATGAGAAGACTTCTTGGGTGCATTCACATCAGCCTTTTATAGTCCGGTTGAATGGAACCTACATAAAATTAGAAAATTGTAGTCAGTGAAACGCCCCTCCTTACTGCAGAACGTCTCTCATTATATGTGTTATAATGTTTTTAACGGACGTTGTCCGATTATATAATCATATGCACGGGCTGCTAGTGTCTGTTGATCTCCAGATTAACAGCAGCATGAGAATAACCTGCCGAAAGTGCCGATGCTCCATGGCGGAGGCTCCGGTAGAAATTGCTGGGATTTGCGTTTTTACCCCCTGTCTGACCAATGGTTGAACAGCATTTCTGTGCACATGACTTGTGTTTAAAGTTTATAGTCCATTTGAGTTTTGCCCGTGTGAACGCAAACCGAACCTTTTGAAAAATGAAACAATGTAACAAACTGTGGTCTGGTGTGCACCAGAGAATCGGACTATTAGGTGTGAATGCACCTAGACCAGGGGTCGGCAACCCGCGGCCCACGGGCCGCATGCAGCCCTTTAAGCCCTCTGCTCTGGCTCCCTTGAGCTTAGACAAAAATAAGAAGGAAATAAAATAAAAGTACTTGTAGGACTATTTATATTTTGTTGCACGGTTGAAAATGTTTCGTATCTTGTATTTTGAGGTGATACTGTGACACATAAATAAAAAACAAAACAGTTTTAATTAGGTCAACTAAAATATGCGTCACATCCTGCTACGGTCCCGCGCGAGCGCCTTTTCTTGGAGGCACTCGTGCGGGGACCCCGGCTCGATGGAGGCGAACTATGGATTAAAGTCAAAGAAAAGTACCGGAAGGAACACAGGATTTTAATTCTGTGTGGACAGCGGAGTTATATGTGCTTTCACAGGCAAACGATGCTGTTTACCCGGTATGTTTGATATCTAGAGAGAGTTGTTCAAAGGTGGCTGCACCTTTACGTATCGGAGGAACAACGACGGGAGAGGAAAGACAGCTGACGATCTTCAGGTCATAATTCAATGGGGTATGTCATTTTATTTCAGAAACAATTTTTTTGTTATGTTCGCATGGAAATGCTCTTACGTCCCGATAGCAATGAATATAGTTAAAATGCTTTTGACAATAAAATACATACAAAATTCATCTTTGAGTTTGGAAGCCGCTAGCGCCGTGTTAAAAAGCCACGACCCAATCATTTTAGCCGACCCGGGCTAAAATAACTGGATGGGCCTGTCCAGCCTTCCATTTTGTTCCATCTGTGCACCAAACTTATCTCGTGGCCTCATTGATGGATGACGATTCGTATGTGTTGAGGAGGGGATCTGTAAGAAAGTCTTTGAAGGAAGAGGCCTATTTTGCCGGTATTTGGAAGTGGTCTAGCGCACTCGAGCTGGTTTCTCCATTCTTTACCTACCCTACCTTTAACTCTTTTTTAGAGGTGCAGCTATATGTTTTTATTTATTTCAAAGTGGGCCCATTTTAATAATTTTTTTTTTTCCTTCAAATGTCAGAGGACTCCCAAGTGCTGTGCTTTAATTTATTTTAAGTAGGCCTGTGTATTTTTTGTAATTCTCCTTAGGCCTATAGGGGTTCTTTGTTTCTTATTAAGAGGTTAACAGTTGATATATAATGTAATAAATAGCCTTAATTAAATGCAAAAGAACTAGTTTTTTCTGATATAACAATTAAATACCAATTTTATTAGCTATCAAGCTATGAAATATGTTTTTGCGGCTCCAGACAAAAAATTTGGTGGGAAAAATGGAGCAAAATGGCTCGTTTTGTCAAAAAGGTTGCAGACCCCTCGACCTAGGACAAACAGGAAGGAAGCTGCCGCAAAACTGAAAACGTGACGTGGAATCATAAATATATCTGGCAGATTAAACAGCACTCTTACATTTGACCTTTTCACACAATGCGTCTCCCTTGCAGTATCAACCACTAATTCGCTCACTTTTTATGTTGATCCCAATTTGGGTAGATCAGGCGCTATTTACCCATACGATGCACAGCTGATAGAAAGGGGCACCTAGTGGTTAAAGCACCGTTAGTTTAATTTTATTATTTGTATTATTGGACATAATAGGATCCCGTTATAAAGTATATCATTACTCGATTATTCTCTACTGAATAGTTTACTTAAAGACCTGTATATAATGACTATTTGCACACACCTTTCAAGATGTATTCTTAAGGTTTATTGAAAAACTTGGGTCGCAGGTTCCTCAACAGTGCATTACAAGACATCATCAATATGTGTGTATTCTCCCACCATTAAACTGTCATATTCTGGCGCACATTCTTATACTATCAAACGTAGATGCTTATAAGAGTATAATACTTAGTATAATATCAGTTAAAATAAGTGCTTAAACATAGTTAAACATTGCGGGGAAAGCAATATTTATTAGACGTAATACTTTGTAGGCTTAATATTATTC